AAGATGATGCTAAGCTGGTGCAGGGTGGATTACATGGCGAAATGAGGATGGAGAAAATATTTTGTGGACTTAAGGTGAACAACCGGCCAATGGGGTGTGAGTTGAGGGAAGCATAGGGATGGAAAGTTTTTCAAATAAATTTGTTATCAATTTGAAGGGGGTGGGTGATACCACTTATGTTGAAGCAGTTTAAAGAGAGACAAAGGCTGAGCCTTTGTGGGGCCCATCTAAGGTTCATTTGGGGTGGGGTAAATGTAAGACTATAACTGAACTTGGCATTGGTAACTCGCTAAAGAATTTTTGCGAGTTGGATACTAGCGGCTCATGTGATAAGCTTAATAGTCATGTGAGTTTATCTAAGAAGCAATAGACTTGGGACCGTAAGAATAATCTATCATCATCCCAAGTTGAAGACCATGGAAGCTCAAACTCGAGTTTGAAATCAAGGTCTACAATGCAATGGGTGCAAAGGTAGGAGGTGAAAATGTAGCTTTGAAGTAAAAATACTATTGATCGCTCGACATCATCTAGAGGGTACAGAAGTTGATGATACTGGATGGGAGGATTGCAGAGAGATGGAGGATCAAGAATCTGATATAGAGGATGCTACAATTGGTGACAGTGATGGAGAGGAGGATTTGTATGATGGACAAGAGAATCTCCTGAACATAGACATGCTTTTTCAAGAGGAAGAAGTTGCAACAAAGGGGGCCTTGTATTCAGTAGAAATCTGTTGGAATTAAAAAATATAAAAAATATAAAAGGAAAAGGTGTTTTCTTGAAGAGGGAAGAGAGAGAAAGAGAAGAAGAAATCTTGAGAAGTAGGAGAGTTGTATTCTGGCCACCCCTTTCACTTGTTATTATAATAAAAATATAAGAATACAAAGACTACTATGCCCTTATAGGGCAGCAAAGCATAAAATAGTATGTATAGGACTCAAAATCATAATAAAATTTGGACTCACATAACTGTTGTGGTCCCCACTACCTATCTAATTTCTAACATAACACAACTATTCTAAAACAATCACAAAAAATCGACCAAACTTCAACACTCCCCCTCAAGTTGGGAGTAGATGTCACACATTCCCAACTTGCGTAGATCATGTTCGAGTTTGTTCTTTGCAACCCCTTTAGTGAGAACATTAGCCAACTACAACTATGAAGAGACATAAGGTAAGCAAACTTCTCCGGTGGTTACCCTCTCCCTTATGAAGTGCCTATCAACTTCAACGTGTTTTGCTCTGTCATGCTGGATTGGATTATGGGCAATGTTGATTGCAGCCTGATTGTCATAGTACAACATCATAGGCTCCTTTGCTTTCACCCCAATCTCACTCAATAAGGATCTAACCCAAAGTAGTTTTGAGACACCATGGACCATGGATCTATACTGCACTTGACCTAGCCACAACTGATTGCTTCTTACTTTTCCATGAGATCAAGTTTCCACCTACGAAGGTGCATACTCCTGATGTAGATCTCTTGTCATCTAAACACCCTGCCCAGTCTGCATCTATGCAGGATTCCAATTTTAGATTTCCATGGTTTGAGAAAAGAATGCCTCTGCCAGGGTGCTTCTTCAAGTATGCAAGTATTCTCCAATAGCTTCCCAATGCTGAACCCGAGGTGCATGCATGTACTGACTCACACCACTAACGACATAGGAAATATTCGGTCGTGTCATACACAAATACAGCAGTCGGCCAACCATTCTCTGATTTCTCCCCACATCTTTTACCAACTCACCATCTACAACATTAATTCTATGGTTTGGATCAATAGGAGTATCAGCTGGTTTGGTTCCCAACTTCCTAATCTCCTTTAGTAGGTCAAGAACATACTTTCTCTAAGAAATGAAAATCCCATGCTTGGATCTTGCAACCTCAATCCCCAGGAAGTATTTGAGCTCACCAAGGTCTTTGATCTCAAATTCTTGTTGCAATAACCTTTTGAAAGCATCAATCTCCTCCATATCATTTCCTGTAACCACTATATCATCCACATATACAATCAGAATTGACACAAGAGTGTCTCTCCTCTTCACAAAGAGGGTGTGATCAGACTGGGTTTGTGTACCCAAAACGGATAAGGGCCCCTCTGAACCTGTCAAACCAAGCCCTAGGTTATTGTTTCAAGCCGTACAATGATTTTCTAAGTTTGCACACCTTTCCTCTACCAATATTTTCATAAAAACCTACTAGAATGTCCATATATACCTCCTGTAAATCACCGTTGAGGAATGCATTTTTAACATCAAGCTGAAACAGAGGCCATGAATTGGTTGCTGCTAGAGACAATAGAATACGAACTGAACTCATGTTGGCTATTAGTGCAAAAGTTTCCAGATAATCAATGCCATATGTCTAAGTATACCCTTTTGCTACCAACCTTGCCTTGTACCTCTCTATCCTGCCATCAGCCCTATACTTCACAGTGAACACCCATCTACATCCAACTATTTCCTTGTCTGGAGGAAGATCAACTATTTCCCAAGTTCGGTTCTTAACCAAGGCTTCCATTTCTTCTTGCATTGTTATTTTCCACTCAGGTTTAGAAAGAGCTTCAATAACATTCCTTGATATAGACACAGAATCCAGGGAAGAAAGGAAAGCTCGGTAGGAGGGTGATAAGGCACTATAGGAAAGATGGTGTGAAATGCAATGGGTTGTATACTTTCTCTTTCCTTTGCGAAGAGCAATGGGAAGATCAAGGTCAATGAAATCAGCTGCAACAATAGTGTTAGGTATAGGAACATTATCATTAGAAGAAATGGCAAGCTCAGGCTCAGTCTCAAGGGGAATATTTGGTAGAGGTATACTTCTTCCAACCTAAAGAACGATCCTAATACTGGGGGCCTGGTTTTTTGTTCTATTCTGATGTTGATTTCCTATTCAAATCTTGAGCCCACTTTGGTTTGCCAAGTAGGTCCCAACAACTTTCATGTGTATGTCTAGGACACTAACAATGAGTTTACCGCAACTTATCTTTCTCATCTCTTTTCTTTTGGAAATCACCTTTCTTAGTAGCATTCACAACAGCCCTTGCAACCAAATCTATTTGCTCCCACTCAGAAGTATTCATTGCATTTCTACTTCCTCATATTAGATCAAAGCATACACTTCATTGATAGAAGGTCCTTGCTACCAAAGATTTGGACTCAGATAGGCTCATACATTGGATTCAGCCCAAGTAAAAAGGAAACAACATGTTGAGAGGCTAGGGCCTTTTATAGGCTTTATCGTCCTTATTGCTGTCCCATTCAATGCTCTGAGAGTGGTCTAGTTCCTTCCAGATGGATGAGAGGGCAGAGTAGTAAGTAAACAGATTACTTTCTCAGTTTCTCTCTGCTTGAATGTAGAGGATTTTGCTTGCAACTGGTAATGCCTTTATTCAGAATACGTGGAGTTTGCTCGTTCCCAAATCTCATGGGCTGTACCTGCCCACATAAAGTTTTGCTTAATCGATGGTGGCGTGATAGTGAGAAACCAAGACATGATTGAGCAATTCTCCTGATTAATTGATGGTGTAATGGCAGCATGGTAGTTGCCTGCTTGCATGATTTCATCCTCATTACGTTTTGTCAGTTCCTTCTATTTTGAATATTTTTGTCCTTGGCTTTTATCATTACTGTCTATTTGTCAGCATTGTTTTCCCAGTCTTTTACCAGCAATCTGAGTTTATCGTTTTTTCTTATCCAGCTTTCTCTGCTATGTTTGCTTTCTTTTATTTTTCTTATCCCTTTGATTTGGACAGTTGTGTCTTCTCCAATTTTATTGATTTTTTTCAGAAGTCCAAAATTGGCAATACCAATAAAAAATTCCAATATCACAAGCTTGTTTTTATTTTCCAGACTTTTCATGATTTTTTTGTATTTTTAATCTGTTCCTTTATTATTGGGATTGAGACTAGAATCCTGCTCTTCTATCTTTCCTGACAATCCCTTTATTATTTTCCTGCGCTTTTTAACCTCATGGTTCTTAGCATCGTCTACTGACTGTAAGGAACGCAAACCATGTCAGATACCATGTCCTCCTGTCATAAACGTCATAGTTCTCACTGAAGATTGACTTAGAAGAAAATGTATAACTAAAAGGAACAGAGTTATTTTCACGCCTTACATGGTGAACTGAATCTTAAGATGAGAAAATTTACTGCCTTGATGGTTCTATCATCCGTTTGGTTTATCATCGTGTATTCTTCCTTTTGAGCTTATTCATTTTATTTCATTTCTGCTTGCATCCTCAACTTCACCAAGGAATATTCATGTTTGAAAACTATGGGGCAGTAAGAAAGGAAGTTTTTCTTTGAGATTTATGAAATGGTTTCTCTTTTTCGACACAGGTTTTTTTGTTAACATGGTACGGATTTTGGAGGGAATGGACCATCATGCTTTTGTAAGGTTTTAGGGGCAGAATATGGACTGGTTTAAAAACGAATTGTGGCACATTGCCTAGCTTGACATGAGAGTCATCAGGGTGTGGGCTGAGGCCCAGCTCATGATACCCAAACAGAATATGGACTGGTTTAAAAAATAATTCTGATGCATTGCCTAGCTTGACGTGAGAAATTTATCATGATGTGGGCTGAGGCTCATCTCATGATACCCTAATAGAGATGCATTGATGGCTATTTCTTCTATGCACCTATGTTACCTGGATACCACGATGACATGGCTGGATATGGTATCAAGATATAAAACTTACATTAAAAATTCAAGGTATCCAACATGGTATGGCACCCTTGTACAGGTATCTGGGTATCATTACTGTGTATGTACTGTTTAGAGAAAATCACATCCTAATCTTGAAGGCATAATTTCTTTTTTGATTGGTTAAAAGAGTAAATTCTTCATCAAACTATAGTTACTATCTCAGTTACTGGCTGGAAACCCTAGTTTTGGTCAAGTGTGTACCATCCTCTCTTCTTAGTACTTGTCAAAAAACCATGATTTTTTTTCCTTGCAAGCATCTTCTTAGTTGTTTCTCTAATTTTTGCAGACCACATACGAAAATTTCCGTTACAGAGCTGACAGCAGGCCCAATGTGTACAACCGGGGTTGTTTAAGTAACTTCCTAGAAGTATTTTGCACAAAAACAAAACCATCAAGGAACAATTTCCGTGCTTTTGTACAAGAGGAGGTACCTAGGCCTCCCATGGTCCGTGCTCGAGAACCAGAAGTAGATGAATCAAGTGGAGACCAACGTGCAAAGGTGGAAGATGATTTAGAGATTGGTGGAGATCTGTTAAAGATCTCCCAGCGGCGTAACTTTGAAGAAGTTGAAGACATACACAGTAGAGGTAGTAATGAACACCATGATTCCTCAGAGGCTGACTTTGTTTTGGGTTCGGATTCACAAGTGCCAGCTGCTCGACCAGAGGCACGCCACTCCAGTTGGGGTAGGAGGAGTGGAAGCTGGGAGATCTCACCTGATATTCTGGCAATGAACTCTGGGGTCAACGAAAGCAGAAGCTTTGGCACAAAGAAGGAACAACATTAAGGCATTGCTTATTTGATTCCATGTGATCTGTGCAAGTATCACGATGCCACATTAACTGAATACTCCATGTTCTTTATGTTGACATTGAGGGCTTCATTCATGTCATGGTTGGTGAGCTATCCGTAGATCAGAAAACCATTCAGGAGCCCCTGGAAATTGATTTAAATTGCTTCCTTGAGGTATAAATCTTGTACTACCCCTTTCCGGGGTGCATTCTCTCAACATTTCTTTTAGAGGCGAGTAGGAATGTGTGTTGTAAGTAATTAATGTAGGGGAAAAAGTGTTTTGCCTTTTCTTGTTTTCTTTTCCTTTTTTTTCTTAGCTTGGTATTGTGCAACAGTACGTTAGTAAACGTGAGGATTTGTGAATCTTTCTAGTGCTGGCTTGATTCTTTGTGTAATTAGCACTGCATGGAATGTCTTATGATTCCGTTTTTTTTGTCTCTCTTTTATATAATTCCGTAATTTATTTTTAACAACATTCTCTTAAAGCTGCCACTTTGGCAAGATTACCATTTGGGGTTTGGTGGTGTATGAAGGCTTTTTTTCCTTTTATAGATGTGGTGTATGAAGACTTGCTCCTTGTAATACGTAAAAATAAGAGGTTTGTTTCTTTATCTTCACATGTTTTTTGAAGCCCCTCCCCTGTTTGGAGCTTAGTGTAAAAGATGAAAAGAAGATGTACAGTCCAAGTAAGAGGTACCCCCTCCCCTGCAAGGTTCAAAGTATTGATATGTATTGGGCCGTATTGGCTGACATGTAAGGGCGTATCGAGGTTTTGACCGGTTCAGGGAGTGGATGGACCTTAACCGGCCTCTCTGAACAAGATTTGAAAAACTAAAAAAAATTAAAAAAATAAAAATTTATCGATACTGCCCAATATGCCTCTACTGGTGTATCAGGCATATCGATATTTTGAACCTTGCTCCTCTGTCCATGAAGTTGGCATCTACATTTTAAGAAAACCCTAGGGGGATCTGCACCATGATAGCTGGTAAGCAAGGTGAGAATCAGAACTGTAGTAGCTGTAGGTGATGCTTGCTGCAGATCGGAGTGGCACAAGCTACTTGAAATGAACAGCACTCTTTGGTGATTGAAGGGAGTGTGGTCGAATGAGCATCTATTCCGTTCTTTCCAGATGTGCCAACAGATACTTGCGCACTTGAAGGCAAAGAAATCCTCTATCCTCCATGGCTGATTCCATTGGGTAATCACCAACATTCAGATTGAGAATTCTGTGCCAAACCACACCTGTTGGGTCACAGGGCAAAAACCTTGACTTAAGGAGAGTGAGACCAGGTCATGGAGAGATTGAGTTATAGCAAATTTGGCATGCCCGTGTTACAAGAACGAGATGTATCCATGTGGTGCCATCCATGTAACCACCCACCAAGATCAACATCATTTTGATTATCCAACCAAAAGAGGCCCATGAAAGATGAAATCCATATGGACTGAACCACTGAACAGCGAAAGAAGAGATGGTCATATCTCTTCATTAGTATGACAAGCCCGACAGGTAGGGGTTGTCACGGTTAACCAAACTCGGGTATTTATTGAAACCAAATCAGTACTATCAGAGTATCAGTTTTTGAAAATCCCTGAACTGAAACGAACCAAACCAATTGGTTAACTAGTTGACCGGTTTTGGTTACCAGTCTGGTTCCTTGGTTTTTTATATTTATAATATATATTTATAAATAAATATATAACATATAATCTATTATATATTATACATAGATAATTATATATATTACTTTAAAAAGTATGAATAACCTCAAGAATATTTCTGGAATTTTGTAATGACAAAACTTGTCCCTCTATATTTAAATTTATTGATAAAAAATGAGGGAAAATAGGGTAATTAGTTAATTAATATTAAATGAGTTGAAAAGAATCAATTTTAAGATATTCAATGCATTCAATTATCTCTCATTAAATCCAACATTTAAGTATTAATTTGCATTCTCCTTCATTAAATCATATATTTAAGGCTTCTTTATTTCTTCTCATCATTAAATTCTATAGTTAAATACATACATAATAAATTAACAATTTCAATTATAAAAACTTATACTTTTAAAATCTACCTAGAAAAAAATAGTGTTTTCATCTAGGTAGTGGTAAGAAATTAAACCATTTGGGTCAAATGGACCAATCCATGTTGCCACAATCAAATAATAAAATGAAAAAAAAATAATATAGAAACTAAAAAAATGGGAACGTTTTTAACATCATATATTTGACATATTAAACAATAATAAGTATGGTAAACAATGTTTTAAAAACCGACCCGCTTTTGTCTTCGGGTCACATGTCACTAGTTCGATTGTCAAGGTCAAACGAGTCAAACTGCTCTACGTCAACACTGTGTGTGTGTGTAAAAATACATATTTTATCAATAAATAGTATAATTATGTTTTACATATATCATAGTTATGTTTTACATATATTACATATAATATATGTATTATGTTATAATTATTTATGTTTTTTAATTTTGTTTTAAATTTTTATTTATAAGAAATATTAAAAATTACAATTTGGGGCCAAAAAAGTTTTTTTTCGCAAAAATAGCAAGGCAAGGCGCATAATGCCCTTGGGACATATAGATCTTGAAAAGTTACTCAAAATAAAAAATGATAACCCCAATCAGACATCGAAATGCAAAGTTATGGCTTCCAAAAGTTTGCACATAATTAAGTGTGTAACCTGCAACTTGATTACTGGGTCGAATAGGTCAATGGATGAATTGCCCAAGTTAGACAGTTTTTAACCAAAAGGGGGGTTTCAACAAAACCAAACCTAGAATCAAGGCCAAGTGATGGTTCGAACAGTTCAATAGGGCAGGTCAACAACAAGTTGAAAACATTAATTATAAATAAGAAATGTTTTTATTAATGATGGAAATGAAATGTAAAATTTAAAACCAATTGGAAGTAAAACTATTTTCCCATTATCTCTCATTAAATCTCATATCTAAGGTATATTCTCTTATTAAATTTTATATTTAAGATATATTTTTTTCATCATTAAATTCTACTAATTAAATCCACAACATTAATTTTAATAATATAAAAATAAATATTTTGAAAAATAATTTGAAAACAAAACCATTTTCTTCCATCTCGGTGGTGGCTAAGCAATTCAACCATTTGGGGTCAAATCCGTTAATAAATAATGCCATAATTAAATAATAAAATTTAAAATAAATAAAATATATAATACAAAAAAAATAACTGGGCTTGTCATTAATATTGTATATTCATTATACTGAACAAAAACAAGTATGAAACATAAGAAGGATTTTTGTAAATGATGAAAATGGAATGCCAAAATTAAAGTCAGCCTACAAATGAAATGATGTCATTATCAAATAATAAAATTTTTAAAAATAGAAAATACAAAGAATCACAAAAATAAATATTATACATAAGATATAATTTTATCAACAATGAAAATGTAATACAAAATTTAATGTCAACCTAGAAGTCAAACTATTTTTCTTTTTGGGTTGTGGGTTAGTGGTTTGGGTCAAATGGATTAATCGATGATATAATAGTTAAATAATAAATATTTAAAAATAACGAAAAAGTACAAATAATCAAAAGAATATATAAAAATTATATATTAATTATGTCAAACAAAAACTAAGTATAATAAGTAAAAATTATGTATATTATGTAGATGAAATATATAATTTAAAACTGATCCGAAAGCAAAGCTATTTTCTTATTAAATGGTACAAAGGTTGTCAAAGACATTTCGAAACATTTCTAATGTTATATAATGGAATACAAAATCTAGTAGTAGTAATAGTAGTAATAATAATAATTGTTATTGTAATTTAAAATTTTAGTAGGTGAACATTTAATACAAGTATTTAAATTTATTTTTAACCATATTGTTACTTTTATAAATTTTTAATTTCTATTCTAACTATGATATATCTAAAATTAAAATAATTAATATGAAAAAATATCCATATGTACACGCACGTACTTAATCACTAGTACACTTAAAAAAGCACAAAAAGAATATTTCTGGAATTTTCTGAGGACAAAATTTACTCTCCATGTTTAAATTAATTGATATAAAATTGAGGGAAAAAAAGTCATGTATGATTTCCTTAATTGAGCTTAAAAGATGTGTTTTTCAGAAAACTATGACCCTCTATTTAATTTCTTTGTGAATGGTGTATGGGGGCAAAAAGGTCATGTATGATTGGTTTTAACTAATTGATTAATAACAACTATTAAGTTTCAGTACGAGATGCAATTGAAATTAAATCGCCTGTGAACAACTATTTAGTTCAGGATACGTGTTGTATCTGAAAATGCTCTGCAAGACTGAAGTTTTCATTAGTAAATGCCCTGGAAACCAAGCATTTTAGTTGTCACTTATTCTAGCATTCCATCTCAATCAAATCAAGTAAAACGATTTTCAATCAGATTATGTTGATTGTGTTGTAACTGAAATTGAAGCATCCTAAGAATGGGAAGAGGATTCCATCTCAATCAAACCAAGTAAAAGATTTTCAATCAGATTACTGAAATTAAAGTACCTGTAAAGAATCAATTAAATATGTCTTCTAATGATAACACTGTCGCTCAGTAATAACTCCTGGAGGGGAAGGGGAAGAGCAAGTCAAGGTTCAAAACATCGATATGTCCGATACGCTGGTAAGGGTGTATCAGGCGATATTGATACTACTTTTTATACTTTTTTTGTATTTTTTTTCAAATTGATTTAGGGGGGCCGGTTTAAGGCTCCTCCACCCCCTAAACTGGTCAGAACGCCAATACACCCACTATAGGGGCATATCGGGGAGTTCCCAGAATGATACGTATTGCCTGATACGGGCCAATACGTGTCAATACTTTGAACCTTGGAGCAAGTAGAAGTTTGGGTTACTTCCCCCCAAAAATTAAATTTTGAATCCAAGTGAATTTATTGTTCAAATGTTTCTTATTTTTTTGCTCTTCTCAGTCTACTAGAGTAATCTCGTGTGTTGTTTCGTGTTCATAACCAAACCACGATGGTCCTCCTCTGTCTATCAATCTTCATAACCAAACCACGATGGTGTGGAAACGTTGGATTAATATTTTTTCTCTGAGTGTGCATGTATTTGCTGCCTTCTACGTACAGTTCATCTCTAAGAACGTGATGCACCTAATAAATATCTTCTGTAATTAAAAGTTTTACACACGACTTCTACAAATAGCATTTCTTGAAGAGGGATTTTTACACAACATACAAAGCACTAGAGCAAAAAAAGGTGAGAAGTTTCTCTATTCTTTTTAAATTATTTCATTATTTCAATATTTCAATGTAGTGTGTTGTTCATGGATTTGCAAAGTAGGCAAATACTTGGTTCGTTTGAGAAATTCAAGTTTAATCGATTATGAAAATTTGCGATTAGTACCCTGTACTTTGGGCTTAG